AGGGTTTGGTGTTGGCTAATACACACGCTTTGATCGATATTATCTTTTTCTTTTGATTATTCAATGATGGATCCACTTTGGGCATCATTTTCTGTATCTTTGTCATACTTAGAAGTTACTCTTTAAAAGCTGAAGAAGGGAAGGAAACCCTAAGATCGATGAAACCCAAATCATTCGAAGCATATGTAGCTTTGGGTTCCACATCCTTTGTGTACGCCTTAAGATAAAGTGGCTTTTAGTTAATCTGTTCCAAACTTCAATGTATTAGGTATAACTGTTTTAATTATTGCTTTTTTGACATAAACTTATGTGAAACATTTATTTTTGTAAGGATAAATCCATAAAAAGAGCAATGTTAAGGACAATCTACACATATTTGTATGAATAACTTTTAATCATCAATATCTTACAGGTAGAATCGTCCACGCATAATATAATGAAAGTTAATATTTTCAAATATTTTTATAAAGAGCAATATTAAAGAGAGCGTCCATAGGCATGTGAATGATCCTCACCCATTGATACTTTTGGGTTTCACAATACTATGTATCAATAACTGAAAGTCATCCACTTGCACGTAAACATTTATCACTAGCAAAATCCATTCATAAATAAACTGATTGAAAGGAAAGGCATGGGATGAGCAAGAGTTAAGCTCAATTGGGTAAACAGTCCTACTAGAATCAAGGGGGAAAACAGTCCTACTGTTTAATCTCGCTAGTTTTATTACGAAGTAATTACTTAGATCAGACAAAGAATCAAGGGGAAAGGAAACATTTTTATTGTGTGTTTATGATTAACTACTCTACTCTACTCTACTCTACTCTCTCAAGTTGACCAAATATGATATAACAGATAATAATAAGAAATAATGCTTGGGAGAACGTAGATCAAATTTCATGAACTATATGACGTGGTTGTTGACGATTAAATTATTACTTAAATGTTGATTAACATATTTTTATTAATGAGATATCAAATAGTTTGCAAATTTGGTCTCTACGTAGCATTATCCGAAAATAAGAGTAAGAACAGTCGCACTGCATGAGAGAGAGAGAGAGAGAGGGGTAGGGTAGGGGTATTCACCAAATTCTCCCTCCCATGTATGGTGTCGGACAAACTTCCAATAAGTCCAAACCCTTCCCCGTCATTACTTGCAGTTAACAGCCTGTTGCAGTCCCCAAGATCTTACGAGCCCCTCATCTTATTACAAACTAATCCACCCCAGTTATTCACTAATTATTCATTTGTTTATTATATACCAATTATTCACTAATTATTCATTTGTTTATTATATACCATCACATATACATTAACCAATCTTCTTCCTTCCACTACTCCCTCATTCAACTACAGTTGGTTACACTCTCTCACCTTCTCTCTCTATCAGTTTCCGAGACTGAAAATGGTGGAAAGCCAGAGAGAATAGCATGGTTACGAGCGTTTACCATCGCACTCGAGCTCCTGTCTTCGAATTCCGCCCTCCCCCGATACCACTCGTGGCAAAAGACAAAACCCAATAAGCAGAACAAGATGCAGTTGAGCAAAACCCAACTGCTGATCTTCTTATTTTTGTGCTGTTCTTCATTTGGCATTGCAGCTGTGGCCAATGACGAAGTTTCTGCACTTCTTTCGATGAAAGCAGGCCTCGTTGATCCACTAAACAGCCTCAAAGACTGGAACTTACCGGAAAATGGAGCTCACTGCAATTGGACAGGCGTATGGTGCAACACGGAGGGGCATGTAGAGAAGCTTGATCTCTCCCACATGAACCTCAGCGGCCCTATATCCGGCGACATCCAACGTCTCCAAAGCCTCACTTCTCTCAATCTCTGCTGCAGTGGCTTCTCCTCATCACTGCCAAAATCCATCTCAAATCTCACAGCATTGAAAACTTTTGATGTGAGTCAAAACTCACTTGTTGGTGAGTTTCCCAGGGGATTCGGAAGAGCTGGAGGATTGACGGAACTCAACGCTTCAAGTAACAATTTCTCGGGTTTTCTTCCTCAGGATCTCGGCAATGCCACAATGCTGGAGACTCTGGACCTCAGAGGGAACTTTTTCGGGGGCTCGATTCCAAAGTCATTCAAGAACTTGCAGAAGCTCAAGTTTCTTGGGCTTTCCGGCAACAATCTCACTGGGGAAATCCCCGCTGAGCTTGGAGAGCTGTCCTCATTGGAAGCTATGATCCTTGGGTACAATGAGTTTGAAGGTGGTATTCCAATGGAGTTTGGGAATCTTACCAACCTCAAGTATCTTGATTTGGCAGTTGGGAATCTTAGTGGTGAGATTCCAGCTGAGCTGGGGAGGCTTCAGTTTCTTGAGACTGTGTTCTTGTACAAGAACAATTTTGAAGGCAAAATTCCAGCTGAAATTGGCGCCATTTCTTCGTTGAAATTGCTGGATCTCTCTGATAATATGCTATCGGGGGAAATCCCAGCTGGGATTGGGGAGCTGAAGAATTTGCAGCTTTTGAATGTGATGTGTAATCAGCTGTCAGGTTCAGTTCCATTCGGAATTGGAAGTTTGAGTCAGTTAAGTGTTCTTGAGCTATGGAACAATTCGTTTTCAGGTCCTTTGCCTAGTGATCTTGGCAAAAATGCCCCATTGCAGTGGTTGGACATCTCATCCAACTCATTTTCCGGTGAGCTTCCATCCACATTGTGCAACAAGGGCAACCTAACCAAGCTCATCCTCTTCAACAATGGCTTTACAGGTCCAATTCCGGCGAGCCTATCCACGTGCCTTTCGCTTGTTCGTGTTCGAATGCAGAACAATTTTCTTTCCGGAACAATCCCGGTTGGGCTTGGCAAGCTTGAGAGGCTTCAGAGGTTAGAATTAGCAAACAACAATCTCACTGGTGCAATCCCAGATGATCTTTCCTCTTCTACTTCACTCTCTTTCATTGATGTCTCTCGAAACCGCCTCCATTCTTCTCTGCCTTCCACCATTCTCTCTGCTCCAAGCTTGCAAACCCTGATGGCCTCGAATAATGAATTGGTCGGCAAAATCCCGGATCAATTCCAGGACAGCCCTTCACTTTCAGTGCTTGATCTCTCATCAAACCATCTCTCAGGAAGCATCCCAGCAAGCATTGCTTCGTGTGAGAGATTAGTAAGCTTGAATCTGAGGAATAACCTATTGACCGGAGACATCCCAAAATCAATTGCCATGATGCCCACATTGTCCATTCTTGATCTGTCCAACAACTCTCTCACTGGCGGCATACCCGAAAATTTCGGAATCTCACCAGCCTTGGAGACGCTCAATGTCTCATTCAACAAGCTAGAGGGTCCTGTCCCAGAAAATGGTGTGCTGAGAAGAATAAACCCGAGTGATCTTGTGGGCAATGCCGGACTCTGTGGCAGTGTCCTCCCTCCGTGCATGCGAAATCCAGTGCCGGCATCGAGGCATAGGAATGTGCACACAAGGAACATTGTTTCAGGATGGGTGATTGGGATCTCATCAGTTTTAGCAGTTGGACTCGCACTTTTCAGTGCTCGAACTCTATACGAGAGGTGGTACTTGAATGGGAGTTGCTTCGGAGACAGTTTCGAAGTTGGCAATGGAGAGTGGCCATGGAGACTGATGGCATTCCAGAGGCTTGGTTTCACAAGTACTGACATCCTGGCTTGTGTGAAGGAGTCAAATGTGATCGGAATGGGAGCCACCGGGGTTGTGTACAAGGCAGAGATATCAAGATCAAACACAGTTGTGGCAGTTAAAAAATTGTGGAGACCGGCAATAGACATCGAAACAGGAAGCAGTGACGATCTAGTTGGGGAAGTGAATCTGTTGGGAAGGCTAAGGCATCGAAACATAGTTCGATTGTTGGGATTTCTGAACAATGATACGAATTTGATGATCATATATGAGTTTATGCCCAATGGCAGCTTAGGAGAAACCTTGCATGGCAAGCAAGCAGGGAGATTGCTTGTAGATTGGGTTTCAAGGTACAACATAGCAGTTGGAGTTGCACAAGGTCTTTCCTATCTCCACCATGATTGTCACCCACCAGTCATCCATAGAGACATCAAGTCCAATAACATATTGCTTGATGCAAACCTCGACGCAAGGATTGCGGATTTCGGGTTGGCAAGGATGATGGTTCGGAAAAACGAGACAATGTCAATGGTGGCTGGATCATACGGTTACATAGCCCCTGGTGAGTTTCTACCTTCTAGTTTCACATCTCAACTTCACATGTTAATCTGTAATTTTCTTGTTACTAACAAGTTTGTGACTTTGTCGTTCTTTGATCAGAATACGGATACACATTGAAGGTTGACGAAAAGATCGACATCTACAGCTACGGCGTGGTTCTATTGGAGCTTCTAACAGGAAAGAGGCCATTAGACCCCGAACTTGGTGAGTCAGTAGACGTCGTGGAATGGATTCGGAGGAAGATTAAGGACAACAAAAGTTTAGAAGCAGCATTAGACCCCAGTGTAGGAAACTGCAAGCATGTTCAAGAAGAGATGCTCTTAGTCCTCAAAATAGCATTGCTTTGCACAGCCAAGCTTCCCAAGGACAGGCCTTCCATGAGGGATGTCATAACGATGCTCGGAGAGGCGAAGCCCCGGCGAAAGAGCAGCAGCAACAACAACGATGCATATGCAGCAGCTAACAAAGACCAGCCTGTGTTTAGCACCTCACCTGTACATGGCCTTCTCTAGGGACCGAATTTTGAGTTCCCCTTTTTGGCTGTCATTATTTTGATTTTTCCATTTTTCCATTTTTCCATTTTTCGTGTTGTATGTAAGATTGAGATTTATTTACTGTTTGTAATAAATGGTTCATACTGGTGTAAGAAGCATATATCCAAGTAAAAATGAAGTCGAGAGCTTATATTTTTTTCACTCGACTCCTACTGACAAATTGCAATTTGACACGCGTGCAAAAACTTATGCTTTTTTGTATGTTAAGGAGATATATTTCCGTAGCTGACGCAAATACAGAGGGATGTCTTCTTACGTGTAAAGAGCAAAGAAGGGGGAAACTGAAAATTGCTCGTCTGCTGAACAGACAAGCATTTGGGGGTGTTCCCATATATACAACTTAAAACAACATTCACCAAAGTAAGCAAACGTATATATATAGCAGTATTACATTGAAAACTAAGACGGCTGTGGTTTTCAAAAGGTAGGGAGATCGCTCTCGGAGAAGGCGTAACAAAAATAAAACAAAATGGCATTCGACAGCACCAAAAATGAACCCGAAAACCAACGGCTTCTCCCTCTTCTTTCCAAAATGCTCCTACTATAGGTTTTGCCCCCTTTGTACACTTTCAAACATAGGTTGTCTCTTCTTGCTTATGTTACGAGAAACGGATCTAGATTGGCTTACATCTTTGCCTCACATTCTTTTCCTGTAACAGCGGAGCTGCAAATCAAAATTAACAGAGTTAGCATCGGGTGAAACTGCAGCTTTCGGAGACCAAATTTGATTTTCAGGGACAAAATTAACAGCCACCCCTACATACCGAGTCCGTTATCCTCAGATGTCCTCATAATCCTTAACCTCTTCACAGTACCAAGAAACATCCTGAATGCAAAATAAGTAAAAACACATAAGCTGAGGCAAAACCAACGACATGAAAACCTTATATGTCGCTCAATATGGCTTTTAAAACATTAGATACCGGATTCCACTAACACCGAACTACATATATAAGAACTAGTAGAACAAGCCAATAACTACTGAATTCAATTATAGTAATACGCAGGCACAATACACTTCATCGTTTATTGAAAAAAAATCTTACTCCCAAGGAACGTCTCCCACAAGCATCCAGTCTCCATCTTTATCTTCGTAAGTGAGCGCAAACTCAAACGATCCATCCAGCAACTTTGAGGGTCTAGTTTCTCCTTCCATCTCCTGACCACCTGAACCTAATTAATAGATATAATACCACCATCAGTCAAAAGGCAAATAGTTACATCCCTAATCGGCTAAGATAAATAAATTTGATCTTGTCCAAGTGAAAACCATGATTTCAAGTGATGGACTTTACACATTCAGAATATCAATAACTATTATATTTCATAAAGGGAATAGTTTCGGCAAAATACACTCAAATTTGGAATTTTTCTTGATTCAAATGACATTCCAAGAAAGCTTGGGAAGATAATTCTAGCTCCACAGAAGGACCATTGTGCACAACTAAAATTCAAGTTGCCTGGATTTGGGAACAATAAATGACTAACCATGTGTCGAGGGCCCATGGAACATATCCTCCAATTTTCGTGCTAGGGCTTCATACGAACTATGTGCATTTAGATTAACCTTTCGCCCAATAGGAATCCCGTCCATATTCACCTTCACAAACAGGGAACCCCTCTGCTGCCCTATCTCCTTAGCATCTCCATTGGTCTTGCGACCTCCATTGTTAACCTTCCCCGCACCAGTCTTGCACTCGCTTCTCTCATTTACTGAGTTAGATCCTTCGGCAGATGAAGATTTCGCTTGGTGAACCAAACTGTTCATTCTATAAGCTCTGATAGGAGGCCATCCCACAACCTGACTGCTTCAACAAACAAAAGATACAATCCCTCAGAGAAGAAAGAAAAACCGAAAACTTTATAAAAAGCGGCAAGGTTACAATATTTCCACATAAATAACTCAACAACCGGACGCTATATAAGTCCTACTACCTCAAGCAACAATGAACAGCAGAAAATCTAATTTAATGTCTCCGGAATTACACAATCATGTGTATAAATGTTTGTCAACTATTGTTTTAATCTAGAACTATAATTGTGTGTAAACCAATGATCCAGCAAGGATATTTGTGCATTGAGCTAAACAAGCAGAAGAGGTTATTTGCATCCAGAACAACTGACAAATACAAACACAGGTTCTTAAATCCGACAACAACAGATGAAAAAATAAAATCAATGGCAGAAAATAAGATTGCAACAGAACATCATGGTACAGAAAACTTGGAAATTCTAAAATGGTAACAATAATTTGTGATGTGCAATAAGAGAACCCAATTAAATTCTGAAACTAGAGCCAACAACCAATCAATTGAGCTCATTAATTAAAAACAAAAAAATAAAAAAAAAAAAATCCTTTTTAATTATCTTACCTGCCACCATTAGCAGCAGCCACAGAATCAGCACTTCTCTTGGTTCCAGCCGCAACATTAGCACTGCTCAACGAAGAAGTAGAAGACGACGACTTGGAAGCCGACGAAGAAGAAAAACCCACAGAAGGAAAATCCTTAGCAGTCAAGATCCTAGCAACTTGACCCCTTTGCCCTTGCTGACCCTTACCACCACCACCACCAAGGCTCAGCCCAAGACAGAGCTCGAGCCCAGACTCCTCAGGGGTAGAAGAGTCCTCAGAAGACATGGCAAAATTCTCCTCCCTGGACAGCGTTGACTTAGTCAACGACCCACTTGCAGAACCTCCAGTCTCCATTGAACAAACAAAGCTTCCTCCTTTCCACCTCAAATCCAACAAAAAAGCTCACAGGATCAGAACCCAGATGGTGGATTTTATAAAATTTGCAGGTAGAGTGATTGCATAAAAGGGGAGACAAGGGTTAGGGTTTAATTTGGTGATAAATTGAAGTTAGGGGAAATTGATTGAGACAGAAATTGGGAAAAGGGAGAAGTGGGTTTTGCTTGGGGCAGTGATCCTTTGCACATTTGACACAAAACCAAAGGTTTGTCGGGCAACTGTGCTCAATTTAGTTGAGCGAAGAAGAATCCTATATGCTTTTGTTTGATCGGTTTTGGGAAAGGGAGAGGAGCGCGAGGCAAGGTTAGGTTAATGGGGGTTTGCTTTTCAGGTTGGTTTTGGTGGTGGGTGGTAAATAGAACGAAGGAAAGAGATGGGCTCCACTCATACCCATTGTGGAGAGAGGACCCACTTTCTGTCTGCTGTCTGCCGTCTGCTTTATGCGTCTCCACCAATATCTTTGCTTGCTTCTACGCTATCTTTCAATTTCTCGTTCTCATTTTACAAAACATGAGCTATCATTCAGTCTGAGTCGTTTTAATTTATTCATTACGATTCTGAAAATTGAATAAAAATGAAGATATAATTGCTGTTCTATGGAGTTTTGAAAAATTCAAATATTTCAAAAATAAAGAAATAAAAATTTATCAAAAAAAATAAGGCGCACTTCTTCGTATATTGCAGGAGTAAAGGGGATGGCATAAATTTTCGCTCTATCTGACGATAACTAGGAGAAGACATTAAGGAGCCGAGAGAGGAAATTCCCGTGCCCTTCAGGTAGGAAAGGCAAACAAGAAATGGAACCCACAACCCATACGCTCCAAACGACAAGCCGACAGGCCGGGTCCACCCCATCACAGGTCTCGAAACGTTTGGAATTAGGACCGCGTGGGGCCCGTCCTTGGTGTGCACGTATGTTGTGACACCTGGGACCAAGGAAACATCGGAGTGTATGTGGACGGCCCAGCGGCGGATTGGAGTGACACGATTCGCCAGGGCTTGAAGTCCGAAATTTTGTGAAACGTTGATAAGTCCGCCGGCTGTCACGTGTGCTTTCTCGTTGACACGGTGGCATACAGGGAGGGGACACAGTCAGTTAACGGGAGGGATAGACCACAAGCGATTTGTGTTTGTTGTATTTATTTTATTTTCGTGTCAACTTGTTATTTTAACAAATCGTATCGTTGAACTCGAATTATCTTAACAGGATTAAGAATTCAAAACCCAACCCAACCCAACAATTTAAATTCAGGAGTTAACTTACCAGACTCATTTGCACTTATAATGAAATAAAAAAAGTTATAAGAAATCCGTAAGGCTAATTCTAAGGTAAATTAAATTTGTAAATTAAACAAGGTGTCACCAATAGAGTTGAGCATGTTAATCAACACTTAAGTAATAAACTAATCATCGATTTCCATGTCCTTTAGTTTCCAAAATCAATCTAAAAATTTAAACTCCTAACATTATCCAATTCCTATATAGTAAAATATATATTGGTAAGTTCTTTTTGATTCACCAATAAGACTACAATAATTTCATTAAGCACCACAAGTTTACATCTACATATCACATACATATGATTTTCAATACATCATATTCCTACAAAATATCAAATGTTTTTAGTTTAATGAGTTGAAACGGGTTACTCGCGTGTAGAGCTGAATCAACCCTTACTTAATGGGTTAACCCAATAAGACACTTGACTTGTTAAGCTTTGACTCGAAATTCGTTATTTTTCGTGTTGTTTCATTTCAGGTTAATAAGCAGTGCATTAAATTGTCACGTCCAAATAGGGAGTAAAAATCATAGGGTAGACATTCAATGTGAGATGGTGACACCTTAAGCATCTTGAAGAGAAAAATGACTTTCATTACACAAGTTTATCACCAGTTCACCACGTTGCGTTTCGTATCAATAATATAAAGACATATGTTGATTCTTTTTTCAAGTGTACTTGTATTATTAGCGTTAGACGCCACCATCATAGTGAACTCGTGCAATACAAGTTGTTCTTCCAATAAAAATGTCAAAAGATATATGTCAAATATAAATTTGAAGGCCTATATGGTAATGTCAAATTTACTTTTACTTCAATCAATATGATTCTTATTCAAATTAATAATTGTAAGACTCACTCTTCAATCTAAATCAATCACAACTAATTTTCATGATTTATAATTGCAATATTAGGACCCCCACAACAAAACATTCACAAAGTATAAGACATCACATTTTCTCATATGTCAAAATATAAACTTAGATACTCACTAGTAATAGGGAGTACCCTATCTACTCAATTTTTTATTTTGATCCAATAATATTCTAACATATGTTTTATGGTTTTAAAAAATAATGGACATGTTATTTAATTTTTCTTGGACTTTAAAAAAATGGAACGTGTGACATTTTGATTATGTGACATTCCATTTAGAATTTGGCATTGAATTATTTTGAAAAATAACCATTGTCACCCATTAGCAAATGACATTTTGTTTATGTTATTTAATTTTACTTAGTGAGTACCTAAGTAAATTTGTATGTCAAAATTGGCAGCACATAATTTTTATACCAATCCACATAGGATTGACATATCAATTGGAGCTTCTATCTACTTTCAAGTTTTATTATGTGACATTCCCCTTAGAATTGAACATCGAGTAATGTTACACTTATCACATATTTGTACCATCATTTGTATAATCTCTCTAATAGAATTAGGGCCCATAACACACGTGTGTCTCTCTCTATTAGAGAGATAATATAAATACATGGTAAAAATAACATTTTTAATTTAGCATCCTCTTTTGAGATGCTCTTATTTAGAAGTCTTTTTAAATATGGGGCACAATCAGGATGATGTGCAATTTTGCCGACCAAAATTAAATAATGGCAAATGAAGAAAAGAAGGTAAATGTGGGCATGTTTAATTCGATCCACTTCTCCACTAATCAATTGCATCAACTTAAAGATGGGTTAAGGAATGATTACGGACAATGATATATAATAATGTTGTAGTAATGCACAAAGACGTTGGCAAGTTCGAGATAATCGTTGATCTTATGTTTGAAGATAGCATAGCTTTATAATTATTATTACGTGACGTTATTTTTTTCTTTGACTGGGTTGAAATCAGGTCTATTTAATACACTATATTCTCTATTTATACTGTCTATTTTATCGTATCAATAAATATCGTACTTATCTAAAATATATATATATATATATATTTAAAAAAAAAAAGCTTTTTTATCAAATAATGTGTCAGGTCTTCATTTATTTAAATACCTCAATACACATACGATTTTCTATTTATTTTCAACGAAAAATTTATGTTTACCGAAAACATTACACAGAAACATTTGTCCCGCACTTCAAACGTGTTAATAATTTAATATAACTTAATACCTATAATTAATAAAAATAAAGGACACCAATTTTATTTTGTAAGTCCATGTCCACATCGTACATGTCAAGATTCAAGACGCAAATGTTTTGACTTTAAGTTTTGTTTTTCCATGAATGGACCACTCATCATTAATTTGTATTTTACTTCACGTTAATATTTGGCTTACTTGAACCTTATACACTCTCTACATTTTTAACATAAAAAATGGGTTCAACTACAACGACTTGTACTACTAAGACCATCTTTTGTAGCTGGGATAAAAATTAAAATTTTAACATTAAATCCCTCCAAACCATCATCTATCATTGGGTTAAAATAAGCCTCAGGGATAAAATAAATTTTTGGGCTACTATCCCCCACCCCCAAGAAAATAGTCTTGGCTTAAATCATTCTAGACCTACCAAATTATCATATTTCAAACCTTTTTTTTAATTTTTTTATTATAATCCAACGAATGTGATCGAATCTACCGGTATTAAAAAAAAAGATTAGAGTCATTAGACGACCCAAAATTAAATCAAAATCTAAAATAATTTAAATCAAATTTCATTCAATACCCATGTATTTGTGTGATTTTTATTATTTATCAGAATTTAAATATTTTTTTATGAAATTTTTTTTAAAAATAAACTAGGATAATCCACATAAATTTTAGTTTACCCAAAAAAATATAGGCTAAAATCATTGTTTAAGAATCTAAGACTAAAATTTTAAGCCTATGCATTAAAGAGCAATTTTTAGGTTATGACTTAAAATTTTCTGGCTTAAATTTTTAAGCTTTATCCCACCATTAAAGTTGGTCTAAGTGATACAAATTTCATGTAAAATTAAATTACAAGTATTCATCAGATTCATATATGCAAGATTTAATCGTTGATTTCCACAACCAATCTGTAGTACATGAAGAAAAATTGCAAAAGTATGCCTTCTTGAAACTTAAAACATTTTATTCCACGAAATTACTTATTAAAGAAGAGGAAAAACAAAGCTAGGGAAATGTTTATGGGCTTTTACAAGGAAACAACAGCCCAACTCTTCTCTACCGCTCCACTTTCTAAAACCCGGCCCAAGACAAAAAACCGAAAGCTTTGAGCTTTCCCACCGGTCACCCAAAAAACTGAAAAACTAAAAACTGGACAAAATACTCAGGTGAGAAGTCTCTTTGCTATTACAATTCTGTACCAAGTTTTGTATGAGATAGATGATTTACAAGTGCAAACACTCTTGCATACTGATGCGTTTATTACTTCAGTTCTTCGGACTCGCCGATACTTGAGTGGGACAACCAGTGCATGCCGTGCAAGCAGGACCGGGGGCACTGTCGGAAATACCAATTCGCACCGTTCGCTGCTTCTCTTCGTTTTCAGGAATATGGACGAGGGCATCCATGATTAGGATGTCCCAATCGCGAGGGATGAGATACGAAAGCCAAGTGTTATCTGCGAATGAGAAATCCAATCATTAAAGTATTAAAAGAGTTATCAAAACCCGAGATATATGTAAAATGCAGTTTAAAGCATCAAACACAAAAGTCTAGCTAGTTTTTTGAACATTCTTCACAAAACTTCTGATACACAAATTGGGATAGCCTGGTTTTTCCAAACAAACCAATTTGGAAAAGATCTAACACTGACAACGAGTTTAAGTACATATCAACAAACGATGTTGATCAATTATATGGCGTTGGATGTAAAATCATGTACCATTATTATGGTTTTAAATGTATAATCAAGTAGCACATGCACAAAAAATATCCAAACACCAAAATAAGCAGGTGTGAGAGCACATGCACACAATGTATGTCTTTATGTGTATTTGCTTGTGTGTTTGCACATACAATTATATGTCTGTTTTTGTATTTAAATCAATACAAACCTCCTTTACGTACAGCCTTCACCTCCAAGACTCCCACACCTCGTGGTCCAGACACAGGAAATGTGCAAGCT